GTGCTGGTCAGGTGGTCTCAAAAGGGGACACTGCAATGGTCATAAGTATGAACCACTTGCCAAGTGTCTGAATTTTGATCACGTGACCTTGAGGATGCTACAACGGTCGTAAGTGTGAAAAAGGGTCATAAACCACTTTTTAAAACTTTGAACAGTCACTAAATGAACTGCGGTAAGCGAGGAGTGCCTATACAGCGGTCTACGCTTCGCTGATAAGCATTAGTTCCAACCACGACCATAATTCCCTTTCAAAACTGGGGAGTCACATAACAATTTAACCGTCATCACACAACCTAACAGACAAGCCAGCATCTTAAAAGGAATCGCTGTTGTCCCAATAAATACAATAAACACAAAACTCAATTTCATTGAGGGCTGCATCAGGGTTGTGTTTGACCTCGGGGGGGCGGGGACAGGGGTGAAATGCTCCTGGTTCGGACCGGATCGCCCAATCCGGTAATGATGGAGGCGGGTGGTTCGGAGAACTGGTAGCAAAAATCCCTGCCCGCCCCCCTATGCCCAGCTGAGCCACGCAATCATCAGAGGCTTTTTTTTAAATTTTTAAAAGCATTTTTTCTACAACCTCTTCGGCCGAAAAAATGCTTTTAAAAGTAAAAAAAAAAAAAGCCTCTGACGATCGCGCAGTTCAGCTGGGATCATCAGAGGCTTTTGAAAGCATTTTTTCTACAACCTCTTTGGCCGAAGAGGTTGTAGAAAAAATGCTTTTAAAACTTTTTTTAAAAAAAAGTTAGCCACGCCCACCCAGTTACATTACCCCACCAACGCCACAGAACCGGTAGTAACAAACCGGTAGAGAGAGGGACAGAGAGAGGTGGAGCTTGGACTGCCTGTCAGCCCTCAGACGGACAGTCAACAGCCCCCAGGTCTGGAGGTGGTTGATGAGGAAGAGGAGGAACAGCTGGGTCCAGTGCGTGATGCATGGATGCACAGAAGGCAGAGGAGAGGAGAGCAGTGGAAATCTATGGGCTGGTCCTTAGGATGGAAGAGCCACCGCTGCTAGTGAAGCCCCACCCTAGCTCTGGGGAATAAAAGGCAGGGGGCGGAGATGAATAAGTGTGGCGGACAACTATTCATCTTCCAGCCAGACAGACTTGTTAGCCTGCAAGATAAAACTTTTTGCCGAGGCTGCCGGCATTCCTAATAAAGGAATCTTTTAAATTCACGTCAGAAGATTTGCCGTGTTTGGGGAGCTGAGTCAGAACAGTTAGTCACACGATTGTTAAGGGAATCGGGCTTCCCCCGTTGACTTCGCTTGTCAGAAAGTCCCAAAAGGGAAATCACATGAGCCCGGGATACTGCAACCGCCGTAAATATTAGTCAGTTGCCAAGTGGCAACATTTTGATCATGTGAACACGGGGATACTCCACCGGCCGTAAGTGTGGAAAAAGGCCATAAGTGGCATTTTTTTCAGCACCGTGGCAACTTCGAACGGTCGCTAAACGAATGGTTGTAAGTCAAAACTACCTGTAAAAGCAGTTAAAATATTGTTTAAACATTGACAATAATTGTAATGATTCGAATATTTGTAAGAACACATTCATCTAAACAAAAAGAAAAGAAAACTGAAATGATATTATGTTAGGATTTAAAGATTTAAGTAACGGGTTTTTGGATAATGGTATTGTTAAATAGATATAGTTTAGGGAAATAATTGAGTAAAATATACTGCTCAAGAAAATAAAGGGAACACCAGCAGAAGACATCCGAGATCTGAATGCATGAAATAGCCTTATTAAATATTTTGTTCTTTACATACAGTAGTTTATACACTGCTCAAACAACTAAAGGGAACACAAAACTACTGTATGTAACGAACAAAGTATTTAATAAGGATATTTCATTCATTCAGATCTTGGATGTCTTCTGCTTGTGTTCCCTTTATTTTTTTGAGTGTATTAAGTTGTGTTATTTGAAAATGTAAAACAAATATGTTGGGATAAATAGTAAAAATGAAGGTGTTATGTTGGGGGTAATAGTTAAAATATTGTTTAAACATTGATAACAATTGTAACGATTTGAATATTTTTAAGAATACGTTTAACTAAATTTTTTCTTTTTTTTTCCTCTTTATATTTTATAAGATGGTAATTTGTGGAGATGTGAAAAAAATTTCTTTTAAAAAGGTGTTAGTAATTGTACAAATCTATGACCGGATCAAAGCTTCGTTCTGAAAAGATGTATTTTATGTTTATGTTTTTAAAAATAAAAAAAAAACTTCTTTCAAAAAAAAAAGAACAAAAACAGCTACCTGTAAAAGAAAATGGAAAAAAAACAGGCAGAACCAAAACGAAGAAAGTTTTCTGCTCTTACTTTAACGCTTGGCCCGCAACCCTAGTAAACTTCAACTAACTCTTACTGAAGTTGGATTAAATTATAACCCGCATAAAACCTGGATGTAACGAGTAGAAAATTTATTAGCTCTTTTAAAAAAAACACCTCTGAAAGAATGCCAAATTCTAATCATGAAAGGTTCTCACTATGTAAGAATATTTACACCGTTCTCCTTTTTTGGAAGGATGTAAATCTGGATTCTCTAAATCTGTAACCCTGGGATTATTTTCTCTCCCCCCGCCCCACCCCTCCTTCTTTTAAGGCTATAAAATGACTAAGGGAATTATCACAAAAGGGCAGGAGAAAAGTTGCAGAGTGTGAGAAGACGGATATTTTATAGCCGCTGCATGTCGGCACCCTTTTATTTACTGCAAATGAGTTAAGCCTCTAAAACTTTGCCTTTTTTACAGAAGGGAAGAGGGGGGGAACCAACGGAGCTGGGACTTTAATTTTGGGTTTGCAACGCGATGGCAAGATTTTTGTCTGAAAGTACTCGGTATTTACGGCGCGAGCCCACCCCTGGAGGCAGAGATTACACATCTTTTATTCAAATCTCTCATCCGCATTCTGAAAAGGTAAGACTTTATTTCGCTTTCTTATTTCCGTCTAGTTCTTCAACGCCACAAATCAAAATCGCGGTGAAATTGCCGACCTCCCGGAGTTGGAATTCGATCTCTATAATACAAAAATTAAACATCTAATGTTGTGGTAGCCCAGGGGTGTCAAACTCAAGGCTTAAATCAGGCCCACGGGCGGTGGGGGGGTGGAGGGGGGGGGCTGGAAACAGTGAAGGACCGGCCCGCCGTGCCTCTGGCAGCCAAAACAGGGCATGGAGCAGGGATGAAATGCTCCCGGTTCGGACCGGATAACCCGATCCGGTAGCGATGGAGGCAGGTGGTTCGGAGAACCGGTAGCAAAAATACTGCTCCCCCCCATTGCCCAGCTGAGCCGCGCAATCATCAGAGGCTTTTTTTTTTATTTTTAAAAGCATTTTTTCTACAACCTGTTCGGCCGAAGAGGTTATAGAAAAAATGCCTTTAGAAGTAAAAACAAAGCCTCTGCCAATCAGGCAAGTCAGCTGGGATCGTCAGAGGCTTTAAAAGCATTTTTTAACAACCTCTTCAGACGAAGAGGTTGTAGAAAAATGGTTTTAAAAGTAAAAAAAAAAAAATTGGCCACGCCCACTCAGTCATATTACCTCCCCCAAGCCATGCCCATAGAACTGGTAGTAACAAAATTTACATTTCACCACTGGCATGGAGGGGTAGCGCGCAGCCCCCCTACATTCCGTTTTCGGCCTGGACGGCCTCCGGTGGCACTTTGCCAGGCAAAATGGGGCACAGGGAGGGGGCGTGCACACCCCATTTTGGCCAGCAGGGTGCTGCAGGAGGCATCCGTCCCACCTCCCCCCCCTCCAGGCCAGTCCGTGGAAGAGAACTACAATGCTGATCCGGCACTCGAAGAAATCCAGTTTGACACCGCTGTTGTAGCCATTCTCTGTTTACAGAATTTATGTTGCATTCGTCAGTTAAGGTGGACAATAAACCCTATAGTCCAGATCAACTATATTCACCCATCTTAGCCTTGGTTAATTTTAATTACTGTTAGGGTTAAGGCAATCACGGGTCTATCAACTCTAATATTTCTAAAGTTCTAACAATTTGTAGGGCAATGTCTCTCAAACTTGGCCACTTCAAGTTGTTTGGACTCCAAGTCCCAGAATTCCCCAGCCAGCGATGGTTGGCTGGGGAATTCTGGGACTTGAAGTTTACACAACTTAAAGTAGCCAAGTTTGAGAAATACTAACCAACTTGGAAGTAAATGCTTAAAAATTGCACCTGAAGCAGAGGTGGTATTTAGCCGATGTGGACCGGTTCAAGCGAACCGGTATCTCCGGCGATCAGTTGGCCCTGCCCATTTGCCCCGGCTCTATCCTGTCCTTTATTTCCTGCTTTATAGCTCATCTCAATCATGTGGCACAGCTGATTCCCCCCCACACTGCCTCTCTAGGAGTCTCTGGAGGCTGGGGACAGCAAAAAACGTCACTTCCTGTCTAACCGGGAGTTGGGAAATGGGCCGTTTCAGGCCACCAGAGGACCTCCGAGGGGGTGGGGAAGGCTGTTTCCCCCCCCCACCTCCAGGCCTTCCAGAGGCAGGAAACAGCTTGTTTCCCTACTTCTGGTGGGCCCAAAAATCAGCTGGCTGGTGCTTGCATGCGTGCCAGAGCTGAGCTGGCATGCCCACTGATATGACTATGCATGCCACCTGTGGCACGCGTGCCATAGGTTCGCCATCACGGGGGTAGGGCTTATATTACAAGCATCTTGAAAAATCATGCTAGGGCTTATTTTCCAGTTGGGTCTTATTTTCGGGGAAACAGGGTAGGTACAACGGTTGCAGTGTCCTGGGGTCAATGGATCCCATTTTGTGACCTTCTGAGAAGCAAAGTCAACACCGAGGCCTGATTCACTTAACAACCGTGTTATTATCTTAACAACTTCAGTGATTTGCTTTACCGCAAGTCGTCAAATTCATTTCAGCAACTGTCTCACTTACCTTAACAGAAATCTTGGGCTCAACTGAGGTCGTATCGTGGTTTGTTGGGCTTTGCTAACTCGGTTAACCGGGAAAGTTTTTGCATACGTACATGAATTGCTTTGACGATAGTGGGCTCCCGGGTACCGCCTGCCCATAATGCTCGTCAGCACATTATCCGGCAGCGTCAGCTGTTTTCAAAGCACTTGATAGAAGAGCTTTCCTGGAGGAAGAGAAGGAAGAAGGAGAAGAATGCAAAGATTTAACACAATGCCTATATTGTTTTCATTAAAATGCTAATGTCCTTTTCCCTGGCTGTTGGATAACGGCTTTATAAATTATTCACCCTCTTGCCAGCGGCAGAGATGAACCGTTGGACTATCAGCCCTGAGCAAATTTACTACTTCGACTTCTTCTCGGCTGATAACTATAAATCACTTCCCAGCCAACATGGCATCCGATGTACAGGCTCATCTGGATTTTGGCAACCTCGAGACAAGGCGCAACTCTCCAGGGAGGGACTTCCGTCTCTTGGATGGGGAAAGGATGGCAGAGGTAGCCTGACACAGCTCAAGCTATGCACCATGGAAATGGGCTTGTTAGTGTCACGTGCGAAGAACCAGATCCACACATGAAGGTTCAAATTTGGTGATTTATCACACAAGTCTTTGCGGAGGAATCTTCCCACACTAACAATTGGCAGGTGGGTAAAACTAGGGATCCTTGGGGCACTCAGTTATTTTCTTGCAGACGTTTCAGTGCCCCACTAGGTAACATATCCGTTCCATTACTACCCTGTTTCCCCGAAAATAAGCCCTATCCCGAAAATAAGCCAAAGCGTGTTTTACGTGTGTGTCTGATATAACCCCTACCCCCAAAATAAGCCCTACATAAGAGCTTGCGGAGCCAGCCAGCCACCCATTCCATCTGGTTCCTTGCGGTGCCACAGTCAGAAGATGAGGTGAGGGGATGGAGCTGCCCCACACACCCTGCACCAGCTTATTTTAGGGCCTCCGCAGCCAGGCCATCCATGCCCCGACACCTGCCTCGCACCAGCAGCCATGTTCAGCAGGACCTCACATAGCCACCGGCCCACTTCTGCTTGCTCGTGGACACAAGAGAGCAGGAAGCTGAGTGGTGTGTTGGTGCTGCGGCAACAAGGCGAGGCAGGTGTCAGGGCATGGATGGCCTGGCTGCAGGGGCCCTGAGGTAAGCCAGTGTAGGGTGCATGGGGCAGCTCCAACCCCCCTTGCCTCATGGTTGCAGTACCAGCATGCTGCTCGGTCTCCTTCTCCGTTGTGGCTGTGAGCAAACAGAAGTTTGCCTGGTGGTGCAGTGGACTAAACTACTGTTAAAGTAGTATTTAGCTGCCAGCTGCCTGCAATTACTGCGAGTTCAATTCTCACCAGGCTCAAGGTTGACTCAGCCTTCCATCCTTCCGAGGTAGGTAAAATGAGGACCCGGATTGTGGGGGCAATAAACTGACTTTGTATAAAACAGAACACCGCTTGGGGGGGGGGCAAAACCCCACTAAGCAGGTATATACAAAAAGTATGAAGGCTATTGCTTAAAAGCATTGTAAGCCGCCCTGAGTCTCCGGAGAAGGGCGGTATATAAATCAAACTAATAAATAATAATAAATAAATAAGTGAGCCTCCCGTACATAGAAAAAATATAAGACACACCCCCCCAAAAAAATAAGCCCTAGTGCTTATTTTGGGGCCCAAAGGAAAACAAGACCCTGTCTTATTTTTGGGGAAACACAGTAGTACAGATAGGCCTCAACGTACGACCACAATTGAGCCCAGAATTTATATCGCTAAGTGAGAAATTTAAGTGAACTGTGCTCCATTTTATGACTTTTCTGGAAAAACAAAAGTCCAGGTACCTTTCGAAAAAGCACCTTGGGACAGACAGAACTCTTTCAACACTATGATACCCATTTTCAAATAAAAATAGCGGCAAGGCATTCGAGATATTTTAGGATTGTGATAAAAAATTTTCAATCCGCACAATCACGTGGTGATTTGTGATTTATTAGGATTGGGGGATTCTTTCTTTCTTTCTTTCTTTCTTTCTTTCTTTCTTTCTTTCTTTCTTTCTTTCTTTCTTTCTTTCTCTTTCTTTCTTTCTTTCTTTTTTTCTTTCTCTCTCTCTCTCTTTCTTTCTTTTCCTTCCTTCCTTCCTTCCTTCCTTCCTTCCTTCCTTCCTTCCTTCTTTCTTTCTTTCTTATTGGTTTTCTATGCTGCCCATCTCACTGATTCAGCGACTACAAAGCAGGTGTGCATACCAAGAAGTCACCTTCAGAACAGTTTGAAAAATAAGAAGTTACCTATTTTTAAGAACTTGGACTGCATGAAAACGGAAATAATTGGAATATTCACGTTCATGTTTTTGGAATTTATATAAAGAAATACATGGGGACGGTTTTTTGGTTTATGATTAATATACAATTAACAATTAATATACAAAGAAAAAAGATAGTGATTTATACCAAAATGTTGGATTATATTATCTAAGGAAATGTATGTTATAAAATAATTAGGTTTATTATTCCTATAAGAAATGAATGATTGTAACAACACATAATTAATTAATTTGATGATGGATACAAAAATAGATGACAATGGGAAATATTAGTAATTATAATAAAGGAATATAAGGAAATACTAGGAATCATACTAGGTGAGATTTTATATTTGAGGGGTACAACATAGACTGGAAGAGAAAAATTGAATTTCGTTAAGATCAGAGGTGCGAATGAAGGGTAATATTGGTTTTAAAAAAAATAAATAAGAGAATAAATATCATGGCAAAAAGGAAGTACAGAAATTGTAAATTTAGTTGAAATGACTAAAAACTGTTTAAATTTGTGAATTGGCCAAATACGCTTTTCAGAAAAAATATATTGTATGTTTGTATATGTGTTTGTATAAAAAATAAAAAAAAAACTTAAAAAAAAAAGAGTTAATGGTTCCTTAGCTACACTTTTTAAAAAAAATACACTGCCCACTCTTCGAATAAAATAATAAAATAAAATATCAAACAAAGCAAAACAAAAAAATTAAATAATATAATAATGGAATGAAATACAATAAAATAATAAAATAAAATAAAAAAATAAAATCAAAAAACAAAACAAAACACAGCCTAAACTATTCCTGCAAGAAAAGCCCATATGGAAATTTTCTTTTCAAGAAATATTTGGCCTGTTATCCAAAAACGGCGGTTTTTGTTTTCCCTTTTAGGTTACAGGTTTCTGCTATTTTTCTTTTCTTGGAAATATCTTCTCCCAGAGGGGCTGTTTTGCATAGTTAACAAGAGCAGAAGGCGGAGTAAACAGCAGCCACAATCTCTGCCTGGGACTTGTTTTCACACTGTCGGTGTTGATCATTTCTCCACCATCCACACCTCTCCCCAAAGGTGTGGACAAGTTTCCACAGCACTTGGTATAATTGGTAACATCCTTATAAACACCTCTCTTTGAAAAGAGAGTGCTGAGTGCTCCAAGCCCTGCCCGAAAAAGGAATATGATATATATGTAGGTCTTTGGTTATTCGGGTCTTCTCCCACGTAAAATTGGACCGCGAAAACCTGAGAAAACATATATATATATATATGTATGTATAAAAAGGTAAAGGTTCCCCTCGCACATACGTGCTAGTCGTTCCCGACTCTAGGGGGCGGTGCTCCTCTCCGTTTCAAAGCTGAAGAGCCAGCGCTGTCCGAAGACATCTCCGTGGTCATGTAGCCGGCATGACTCAACGCCAAAGGCGCACGGAACGCTGTTCCCTTCCCACCAAAGGTGGTCCCTATTTTTCTACTTGCATTTTTTACCTGCTTTCGAACTGCTAGGTTGGCAGAAGCTGGGACAAGTCACGGGAGCTCACCCCGTTACGCGGATTCGAACCGCTGAACTGCCGACCTTTCAATCAACAAGCTCAGTGTCTTAGCCACTGAGCCACCGCGTCCCTTTTATATACATATACATATATATTCTTAGATAGATAGATGGATGATAGATAGATAGATAGATAGATAGAGATAGATAGATTAGATAGATATGGATAGATATGGATGGATGGATGGAGAGAGAGAGAGAGATATGGATGGATATGGATATGGATGGATGGATGATGGATGGAGAGAGAGAGATAGGAATGGATAGATGATAGATAAGATAGATATGGATGGATGGATGGATGGATGGATAGATATGGATGGATGGATAGATAGATCATAAAGATAGAAGAGATGATATAGATATAGATGATATGGATACGTAGGTATGTAGGTAGCGGTAAATAGATCATAGAGAGAAATTAGATTGATAGACCATATAGATAGAAGAGATTATATATAGATGATATGGATAGAGATAGATAGAGGGATGGGGAAAATGAATGGATGGATAGATGGAGGAAAGGAAAGGAGGGAGAGGGAAAATGGAAGGGAGGGAGAGAGGGAGGAAGGAGGGAGGGAGGGAGGGAGGGAGGGAGGAAGGAAGGAAGGAAGGAAGGAAGGAAGGAAGGAAGGAAGGAAGGAAGGAAGGAAGGAAGCCACAGCTGTACAACATTTGAGTAACTTTTTCCATAGACAGACCTGTAAATGTTGGCTTTCCAGACACAACCCTATGACACTCATTTCTTGACTGCAGACAAGAACAGACCCGACGTAGTAGAAGTTCTACCTAACGAGTTGCACCAAGCCCATCTACAAGTTTCTTATTCCAAAGCTCTAATTCCAGGCTTTTTCCTCCTACACTTCCGAATCAACAGATATTTAGCTACTCTTCTAGCATTTCGAAGGCCTTAGATCAGGGGTGTCAAACTCGATTTCATTGAGCGCCACATCAGAGTTGTGTTTGACCTCAGGGACTGGGATGGCCATGGCCAGGGGGGGCATGGCCAGCTTGACGTCACTCGTGTTGGGGCACCTGTGGTGGCCCGAGTGCTCTGCCAGCGAAAACGGGCTCCTGAGTGCCATTTTCAGCCGTGATGCCCACCTACAGCCCTCTGCCGGTGAAAACGGAGCTTGGGTGGGCCACGCATGCCCCCCCAGGCCCCGTTTTCAGCTGTGACGGCCTTCTGCAGCCCTCTGCCACCGAAAACGGAGCTCCACTTTTGCTGGCAGAAGACTGCAGGAGGTCATCGCGGCCGCAAACAGAGCCTGGGAGGGCTGTTTGCGGCCCTCCCGAGCTCTGTTTTCGCTGGCAGAGGCACCGCGGGCTGCTCCTTTGCTTTTTCCAGAGTTGCCCAACTTTCTAAGTGGATAACAATAAGGATACTCCGCTATACCTTTACCAAAAAAAAGGTAAAGCATAAATTGTTAATCACTAGGAGCATTAAAACAATACAAATCAATCCTGATACCAAACAATTAGATTGAAGTCTACTCAGTAAGACTTATTATTTTGCT